AAAATCCAAACAAACTGCACCTCTTATTTCAGACATCGATGAATTAAATAATAAATTTGTGAACATACCCATTCCAAATTCTAATATATGCCTTGATTACTACAGTGAACGTGTAAATGTTGGTGCCGGTCCTTTTGATTTTGTATGTGTGGATGACTGTGATGTTGTACAAGCGATTCTATCTATTAAATCAAATGCGGTGGGATTTGATGAAATTAACACAGCTTTCCTTAAAATAATCCTACCCAAGATCTTACCGCATTTGACCTATCTTATAAACTCCACTTAACAGCTTGCGTTTTCCCAATGAATTGTTGCTAAGGTAATTCCTGTTCATAAGGTAAATAACGACTTTAGGCCTATAGCCATTCTGCCTTTCTTGTCCAAAGTGGTTTGGCGTATACTACATATGCAGATTAGTTCATATGTGTATGATAATGGACTTCTAACTGATCTTCAGTCTGGTTTTAGGCCAAAGGGAAGCTGTACTATGGCGCTTTTAGACGTAACGGAGAATATAAGGTCACAAATTGACGAAAATAATATTGGTTTCTTAACATTGCTTGATCATTCTAAGGCCTTTGATACAACCTTTGAGCAACCTTTTTAATTTACAAGCCGAGCAACGAGCCTGACCAGGTCTTACCTTGGCAACAGGGTTCAAGCTGTAAGTGTTGGAGAGAGAAAGTCCAGTATCCTGCCTGCAGTTAGAGGAGTGCCTCAAAGCTCCATTTTTTTTTTTTTTTTTTTTTTGTTTGTTTATTTATTGATGTATCCTAACACAACAATTTTACAATTATTTTATAGTGCTAGTCACGCGTTTACAATTTTTTGATTAAATCTACAATAACATATGTATATGATACGGTATACGGCAATTTAGAATATACTTATGTATTTGGAAAAGAGGCGCGGGAAACAGAAGAAAAAATAAATAATAATAAGTAGAAAATAAAAAGAAAAAGAAAAAAAAAAGAAAAAATAAAATGTATATAATAATATGTAGGAATTTCAGGTACACACAGAGTAAACAAATTTATATATTAATTGCATTCATTGCTATAATAGTTAGTTATTTGGTTTTTAAAAGGCAGCGCATTTTTTAGTTTTCTTAACCTAATAGGAAGAGAGTTCCAAAGACGTATGGAATTGATAAAAAACTGACGTTCAGAGACAAGGGTTCGATATTTGGTGTGTACTAAAAGTTCAGACCTCGATGATTGGAGAAATTGAAGTCTTTCGTACAAATAACTAGGCTCCTTAGAATTTATAATTTTGTGTAAGGCAACAAGTGTTATAACTTTTAATAGGTCATCAAACGAAACGCTGAATAACTTTTTAGAAAATGCTGAGACATGTTGTTATAGACAACATTTAACTTTTTCTTACATACACAGTCACAACTTGCATA